CCCAATGCCTTCGCATTCAATCATATGCAAACCAACAGTATATTTATCATCTGGACGTTTGTCATCTGGACGTTTGTAATCTTAGATATTATCCTCAAGGCGGTGGTGAAGTCATTTTAAATGTGGACCCTTTAGTCGAACAAGCTTTAAAGCCATTAAGTATGATCAACCGCGGTAACATAATTAATATTAAAGGGTAAGTCTTTAAATTGAACAGATTTTTCCTGGTAACCAAATGAAAAATATGTTTAACATATACAGCACCTTATTTCATTTCATTTTTTATGTTTTAATGTTTACTTTTTAGGCGCGTGACCATTGCAAATTTTCCAGAAGAAGTAATTATAGATTCTTTATTATCCGTAGTATGTATTTTTGATTAAAATATATCCCAATTTGTTCAACACATCTAAGGTTGCTACCAAAATAATTTCGGGCGTATCTCAAGTATTCTCTAATGAAAGGTTACCGGAGCTTAAAAATATTAAGCCAGACATAGAAATTAATATTGAAAAGATCGCTTCTGGCAAAGGTTACGATATATTGTAGGTTATATATATATATATATTCTTGTATATAACTATACAGTATCTATTACATTATAATGTATACTTTTGTTTGCAGATTATGGGCAGAGACAAGTTCAGGGTGTATAATAAGCGGCAACGCGGTCAACAATAGAGGTGGATATTAACAGGGTTGGACAATCGGACAAGCGGATTGTCCGATGAAATTTAAATTTCTAAAATTGTTTATAATTTTTTTTAGAAATAAGAAACCTCTGTTCAGCAGTGTTGTTATTTAGACATATAAACTGTCGGATTTAGCTCAATTAGACTTAAGGCTAAAGCTAATTAGACTTAAGGCTAAAGGTTAAATAACAATACTAGACTTAAGGCTAGTAACAACAATGCTGTTCAGAGTCAAGCAAACCAAATAATTAGGACAGTGATATACTGCCAATTTTTACACTATGTAGGTTAATAGATCAATAGATGCCGGACAAATTTATATATCCGGCGTCCGGTAAAATTCATCGGACATAGAAGGCTGCACAACCCTGGATATTAAACCAATAATGAAATATTTTTCAAGATATTACAGCAGAGTTATTTACTTATTATCTTAATATTAGGGCAATCACCAGTGAATACAGGAAAGATAGCTGCTGAAAGACTTTTAAATAATATCAAGCATGGTGGATGTGTAGATGAGTATGTTACTTTATTGCTTTTATTACCTTTTTATAACTTCGATTTCTCTAACTATATATAATTCGTTAGATATGGGAACGGTCATAAGCAAATTGCTAAATTTTGAAATGATTTTTTTTCTTTATAAGTTGTTAATTAAAGTTTTTCAGAGCAAGTCCTGGTCATATTTACTTACAAAATACCTTTAAATCGGTGACGGTTATGACTGACACGTAACTGATGATGAGTTTTTAAAATGTTGAATTTTAGAGAAGTTATTTTGGTTTTATAAGTAAATATGACCAGAACTTACTTCTTAACAACTTTAATTAATAATAAAAAAGAAAAAAAATCATTTCAAAATTTAACAATTTGCTTATTACCGATCGTATTTGTTCGTGACCGTTTCTATCCTATAATCCATTACTTTAAACGTATAAGGTATCTTCAAGATCAATTGATTATTTTTATGGCGATCGCAGAAGGAAAATCACAGATTGTTACTGGTTATTACAAATTTACATTTTATAATGTTTTGTACGTATTTTTTTTTTTGAGTTATATATTAATAAATGATTTTCATTAGGTCCAGTTACTCAACATACTCGTACAGCTATACATTTTGCTGAAGTAATGTCTGGTGCTAAGTTTAATATAGAAGAATATGACAAACGTCCAGATGACAAACGTCCAGATGATAAACGTCCAGATGACAAACGTCCAGATGACAAACGTCCAGATGATAAATGTCCAGATGACAAACGTCCAGATGACAAACGTCCAGATGATAAATATACTGTTGGTTTGCATATGATTGAATGCGAAGGCATTGGG